ATTAGCTGGTATGGGTTGGCGTCAAAGACTTTTGGCAGCGGGTGGTTACAGTTAGTATCCCTAAGTCGTGTACTGTGGCACTGCGCGCCTCCGTACACCACTTAGCGGTTTTGACACTTTACGAAACCGGTAACGTATATTTTACAACACAACCATAAAACCAACTTAACCTTAAATATTTACAAAACCGTCTGACACATAAATGATTTCACTAATGACTTCACTAACGAATTCACTACCGTCCTCACTAAATAAAAAATAACCTTATTTTTATTTTTTTAAATTTTTTATTTCATTGTAAAGACATGTCCGACTATATTTACTATGACTCTTTCCCAGAACGTTTCCGTGAACTATTCAAAACTCAAGTAAAACTGAGAAACATGCATTTTAACAAAGACAGACCCATTGACGATGAAAGAAACCCTGAATATATTACAATCCCTTATGACGCAAAGTTCATTGCATACATTCCTTATGGTCGCAGAGGAACGAAAACTATTTCAACAAAGAACAAAAATTATTTCTGGAGCGATGAAGAAAATTGCCTTATCTACATAAATGCATACTTAAATAAAGCTACATATTGTACAAAAGAAGGTTGGACTGGATTTGAGCTCTACATATACGACGACGATGGAAACAGACGTTGTGTATACCCATACGATAATATGTACCATTGTTTTCATCAAGCATTAAACGAATACATAGTCAGTAAGGGTCTCATTCCTGCTGAGTAGAAATGTTATATTTTTGTTCTGTCATTTATTTAAAAATTAATGATATCACCACCCTCACACGTATGAAAACATAGCGCAAAAATAAATTTAGGTGAAGTGGTGAAATCTCACCTCTTTTTTCACCTCTTTTTTCACCCGTTGAATTCATTACTTTATAACTCTCTTCCTTGGTTTCTTTTTAGTTGCTTTCTTTACGTCTGTCTCCAACTTGACTGTCTTTCTCTTCGTCCGTAATGATACCAGTTACTTCCACCAGTCAATGGGTCAAATGGTCTTTCGTAAGGGTTTCCATACATTCCATAGGGACCATACGGAAGAACTACTGGTGGAGAAGAAACATTTTCTTTAGTTCCATCGACTCTATTTAAATGCATTGTTTCACCTTTCATCTGGTCATTAAAGTCTTTTGCGTGTTTTGCAAACTCATCGTCCTTTCCTAAAGCATTTTCTGACTCAGTCGCAACCAAATTGGATGCTTTATTTATGAGCCCTATTTTATTTAATCTTAACTTCTTTGCAACCCAGCCTCCAATCTTCCCTTTATTTGCATCTAATGTCTTCGAAACCCTTCCTCCACTCATTTATTTACTGCGTCATAAGCTCCAAGTGCTTTTGCTCCAAATGCTAATGCTTTTGTTCCCATTGCGCCTAAAGCTGCCCAAGCTACCATTTACCCCATATTAAAATCATCTCTCTTCAATATTATCTCATAAAAGTTCGTTACTGGAGAAAGTCAATGAAACATAAACATTCTCATGGACTTCGTCCTCGCCGCGTTGCGGCTTCATAAACTTCTTTCTTATCTCATCTATACGCTTCAAAATGTCTGAACAATTGCTAACATCTTCTACAACAGTTATTTCATCATGAATGACCTTCAAGAACAAGCTCATTTAATATGCTATTAAAATCATCTCAATAATGAGTCCATCCTTTCCGTCTTTGGGTAGCACAACATCTTTCATTGAAGAAGGTTCGACAAGTCTTATGTTAAACTTACTGACAAAGTTTGTTATACTATAATGCTTCGGTGGCGAATACATGTAGTTTGAAAGACATAATATAGATTCTTCAGCAAATTCACTTATACTGGATTTTATAACAAGTTCTCACGAGACCAAATGCCACCAATTGACAATCTTGTAAGCAATCCTGCTGAACCTTCTACTGTAAACGTCGATGGTAACATTCCACGAAGGTCATCAATTGACATCTTTGAGTCACTGAATTTAAATATTTTCTTAAAGCAATCGTCATTATCTAACCATGCAATAGCTTTGAAGTTTTCATTCGAATATACATCTGCTTCTTAAATGTAAAACCTGACTTATTTGCAGAGATGACTTTAAAATCTATTGAGTTTGTTTCAAAATTATATGCTATGCTAACTTCTGAAGGTAATGGATGTCCTTCCGCAGTCAGTTGTTCTCTCACTACCGTTTGAAGCTTTGTGTTAAAAACTTTCATGTCATCTCCTGTGTCTAGGTTCACATACACAGCAACAGGAAAACTATCTTGCTTCTTTGTTTCATCATTATACCTCAAAACATTAAAGTTCTTCAATAATATTGTTCTTCCTGCTGGAATACTTCGAACCTGTCTGATTTCAATAGCTTTCTCACCTCCTACATACTCTACCCAGTGCCTTGGATATTCATAAGTATACTGACTTTCTTGAATTTTGGTAGGTTTCATCATAACGTGTTCATAGTATATCTTTATACTCTTGTCAGTTAGACTCGGTGCTATGTTCTGAATATTTCTGACTTGCATTTTTAATGAAGATAAAATGAAGCATTTAATACATGACGTAGATGAAGACATGAATGAAAGCAGTGAAAAGCTCAACAGTTCTCTCATTCTTCCTTTCAGTAAGACTATGAGTTCTGTTCAAATGCGTTTATTTCTATGTGGAAAGATGGGTTCAGGTAAGACATTTAATTTAATTCGTCATATACTCATAACAGAACGTTTAGGAAACGACTCTTACTATGACCAAATCATTATATCAGCAACTTCAGACTCTATGGATTCAACAGCGAAAACATTTATGTCAAAAGTTCAAGCCTCTGTCGTTAAAGTTCCAGATAGCGAACTCATTGAATTTCTTCAACGTTACATTCGACGTAAGAGGAAATATTATGCCATCGTTGAATTTATACAGTCAGGAATGCAAAAGACTTCTGAGGAGATGGAAAGAATTATTGACAAACACCACTTACGTCAGTACTCAGGAGTTTACGATATGAAACGACTGACAAAACTACATTCTATCAAACTTTCAAAATACCCCTTCAAAAAAATATCCTTCAAACACTCTGCTCGTTTGCGACGACTTCGCTGGTAAAGGTTTAGTGTCAAAACCAGACTCACCATTAGCTAACATCATTACTAAAGTCAGACATTACCACTTAACTGTAGCAATACTTATGCAAACATGGGGTTTTTAGCTTTAAACATAAAACGTCTCATAACTGACTTCGTTATCTTTCAAGGTTTCTCACGTTATTATGATATTGAACTCATTTGGAAACAGTCAGGTATAACATTACCTTTGAAGAAATTTGGGAAGCATATAAGTCTCTCATCTCTCCTCGTTCATACCTTGAGATTCATATCATGACTAATTACCATTAAAGTCAAAATATTCCATGGGAACGACCAACATTGTTTTAAAGTTTAACCTTCAATTGACTGATGGTAAACAAATTCCATGCATCTCTGTCGCCATTTCTGTTAATATTTTTGCTGTCATTCATATCATCCACTTCTCCATTCCGTTAGCTTTTGAGGATATGTGTTAGAATAGCTGTTCTTAAATGAAGGCTTTTCACCTTTGAGAGCATAAACTCTATAACTTTCTGCCATACTTTATGTTTGAACCCTGAGCCATCATTGACATAAATTTTTATAGGCTTCCACCCTTTGTTCATGTTCCTGCTTCTTCCCTTAGCTCTTTTGTTCAGTAGTTCTACATCTTTATACACAGCTCCTGTCTCAGTGAATTCAACAATATTTTCATTCGTTAGCTTTACATTCAAACCCTTGTCGAGTATATTGTTCATTTCATACATATAAAAGGTTTTTATTCTATATGAAATGAGAAGCAAATCCATCTTAGCTGGTGCCGTTAATGTTCCAATTGAACCAACATCAAATGTTGACTCACGAACGACAAACAATATTGTCATAAAGAACTATAGTTCAGAGTGTTTGAAAGAAAAAGAACCAGAACTGAAATCCGTGAATTTAAACTCAGCTTCAAACGCTAACGCTACATCAGATGTTAAGTTAGAGTATCCACCACTGGACCAAATTCTTTCAAGAGAAGCCAACGGCAATCCTTACATAAATGTTCAAACAAATCCTTCAGATAACGTAGACCATTACCTTCTTCAGTTATACCAAACAATTTTACTCAAAGACGATAAGAAGCTTTTGACAAATCTTATAAGTAAGAACCAAATAATTTTAACAAAGGAGGACCTTGAAAATGTTATCTCACGAATAACAGGGAAACAATGTGTCATTGACTATCTCGACCCTGAATAAAAATCGGAAAGATATGGGCAGTACTTGGTGAAGAAGCTTTAAATGACGTTAAAAATGCTTTGAACTTCATTTCAAATGGTTCGGATACTATTAAAACTTTATCTGGTTGGATGCATTGACTATAACGACTCCATAGAAGAGAAATTAGCCGAAAAAGCAGATAAAAACCACGTTCATTATATAACTTCAGACGAACAGATTATAACGGACTACCATGGATATTTAACACGAACTGAAGAAGTGAAGACGGAAGACCCCAATGAAAGAAGATATAAATACATTCGTGCTAAAGGTTATGACATAAGCTGTACTGTACAGTATGACACGGGTAAAGCACCAGAAGCATTTAGTTATAACGATGAAATTTATGCCTCTACTTTCTCTGTTAAAGGTGTATTAGTTGAACCAAGATTTACTTTGAGAGTTAAGTCAAAAATAACGTTTGAAGATGCTATTAAAAGTAAAGCTGACAAAGTTGAACTCGAAGCAATGAACAAAGTTTTGAAATCTCATAAACACAACATCTCCGATATAAATGAACTTCAAGCTACATTAGACAGTAAAGCTGACAAGAACCATACACATAAATCCTTCACTACTGTTAGAGCAGACGACATAATACTGAACTTTGACCTTGGTTCAAGTGCACCATTAGAAAATCCAAGTACAAGCGTAAAAGATACACTAAACTCCTTAAATAACAAATGTATGAACATTGAAGGTCGTGTCAGAAACTTTGAAACACATGAACTACCAGCAATGTTAGATAAGAAAGCCGACAAAACTTATGTGGATGCAGAACTAACAAAGAAATTTTCGAAACCAGATACAATGACATTTACAACAGAAATTATAAATGGTGAACCAGCAACTCCATTTGAATTTGTTAGAGGTCTTCAACCAGATACTTTTGAATTTTTCTTGGATAATTCTATTGAACTAACATTACATTATAAAAGTGGAACAAATGCAACATTTCATCCGGGAGATACATTCCAAATGGTATTTAATGACATAAGTTCTTTAGAATATGTTTATAGAGTTATGAGCATATATGATTTAATATATCCTATAGGAGCTGTTTATACGTCTATGAATCCAATAAATCCAAACACTTTATTTGGTGGTAGATGGTATGAAATAGTTGACAGTTTTCCATTCTACACTAATACTCAGTCAATGAAGATGGGAGGTTCAAAGAAAATAGGTATTGAAAACCTTCCTTCACATATGCATAGGTTCAGTGGAAGAACATCTGTGGAAGGAAACCATTCACATTCAATAACAAAAAGAGGTTATACAAATCTTGCAGCGGGTTCGGATAGACAGGGAATGCATAGATATGATATTTCAACTGACCCAGTAGATTCAAGCACAGGTATTTTCTGTGGAACTGCAGGAAATCATACACATGTTGTAGCTGGTATTACAGACCCAGCAGGTAATGGAAAAGATTATATGCCTCCTTATATAACAATGCACGCTTGGATACGAGTTGGTTAAAATCTTTAACTTTACATAAATGAGCTTGAAAGAAGTATTCGAACAACATCCATGGAGGTCATTTAAGAAGTTCAATGAAGCTGCAAAGAGTCGGGGATTTACTAACAGAGCTGAAGTGAAAAGGTTCTTTGACAAAAATGTTGTACATCAAACAAAAATAAACCCTTACGACTACTTTTTACCAATTTACTCCAACACTCCTGACGCATACCAATTTGACACTCTCATTCAAAGCAGAAAATGTGGTCATAAACCATTCCTCATCTTCATAAATGTTAACACTCGTAAAGCATATGCATATCCAATGAAAAATAAAGGAACTCGTGAAGTGTTAAGAGTTTTACAAAAGTTTGTAGCAGAACATAACCCAAGTACTTTAACATCAGACCAAGACAGTGCATACCTCAGCAACGAAATCACAGAATTTCTCATTAAGCATAACATAACTCACTACACTACTGAAGACCATAACCATAACATACTCGGTATCATTAACCGCTTCATAAGGACTCTCAGAGATTTAAATCAAGAGCGAGACTTTACCGAAGAAACAATGAAACATTTTCTCGAAGTATATAATTCCTCAACACATTCTACAACAGGACATACACCAAATTCAATGACACAACAACAAGAAGAAAAGTATATACAAAAGAAACGAAGCCAAACACAAAATATCAGAAATTCAACACAATTTACCCTCATTCCTGGTACAAAAGTTCGTGTAGTTCTTGACGACAAACCGTTGACAAAGAAACGTTTAAGGTTAAGTCGAAATTATTATATCGTAGACTCTACACAAGGTAATGGATATCTTATAAAAGCTGCTGACGACTCCATAGCATTTTACCCTTGTCATAAATTAGTTGAAAGTAGTAATGGCAAACTTGCTGAAACCATTGACGAAGCAAAGCGAGGAGTGGTTATTGAAATACTTGGCTATAACACAAACGATGACACTTATAAAGTAAGATATGAAGGAGGCGTTGAAGATGTTATACCATCTAAGAACTTGAGAGAGTCGAAGCCAACACATCTGGGACCATTAGAGCGGGAGTACTGGAAAGACAAAAATATGCCAGAAAGAATAAGAAAATTCTTCTAAACTTTTTCGTTGGATGTAAATCAGACATGAACGAGAACAGTCATGGAATTATTAATGGTACCATTTATTTTTGTCATAAATTTACACCAAAAATAAATTTAGGTGAAGTGGTGAGATATCACCTGTTTTCTCACCTGTTTTCTCACCTCTTGAATTTTCATGAATTTTCACAAAAGACCAAAAATAATGTTAGTTTTATTTTTATTTATTTTTTATTTTGTATGTAAGAACAGAAATGTCAGTCGAAGCAAAAACATTCACTAACAAATCTAATGGCGAAACATTCACAAAAGGCACTTATAACGGTATTGAAGTCTTACGTAGAGACAAGGATGGTTACATTAATGCAACAAAGATGGCAAGAGAAGCGGGAAAGTTAAACCATTTAAACAGATTTCTCAATAGTGCTAAAATGCAGGAAATTCTTGAGTTTTGGTTGAAAGAATACGGTGGAGCCAAAAGTGGCTCGACCTCAAAACAAGCATTTTATGAGCTTACAAAGGGTGTTATAAATGAATTCAAAGGTATTTACATACATCCTGACCTCGTTCATTTTGTTGCTGAATGGTGCTCTGTAAAGTATGCATTTTATGTCAAAGATATTATGGACTCCATAGACAAGAAAGTTCATGAGAAGTTAGATGAAGAAGAACTCGAAGATACAGTGGAGAATGCTAAACCTTTGTTCGAAGAAGAAGTTGGAAAAATGTGTGAAAAACAATTAGAACATGAACGTGAGATATATTATGGTTATAGAGATTCTCCATACGAACTAGACCAATGGGAACAAGAAGATTTAAAGAGAGAATTTAGAGAATATGAACTCGCTAAGATAGCATTTGAAGCTGCAGAAAAGAAGTTAAAAGTTTGGGGTCGTTTTGTACAAAAATATTGTGAGTAAATGAACCATTTATTTTTATTGAATTCAATAAAAATAATGTTTAGGTGAAGAGGTGAGATGTCACCCGTTTTCTCACCTGTTTTCTCACCCCAGTTTTTCACAAGCGTTTTACATGAATTGTACGATGTATATTTGAAATCCTAAACAATTTCGTAGCTTCTATTTCTTCTGTCAGTATGTCAAAAGTTTTAACAATGCCGAAAGTTTCTTTATATTTCTTCTTGACGTCAGATAGAAGGAAATCGTCAGCAGTTGGATAGTTTTTGTTCAGAAATGCTAACATGTCCATTTTATTTTCTGCTGGCTTTTCTGCTTCTTTCTTTAAGTCTGCATAGTCGTTTCGCATTCTTTCTATCTCTTTGACGGAGTAGTTATATTTCCTAATTGCTGCTTTACATTTAGAACATTGCGGATTCATTTTTGCGTTATACATTGAAACCTTACCTGCTAAAACAACCAAGGCGTCAATTGCTCTCTTCATCTCAAACATAGCGGGTCTTATCTGTTCATTCCATACCTTACCTCTTCTATCTTTATCTCTTATCTGCCATACACATTCAGCAACTAACGAAACAAAGTTATCGTAGGTCTTAAACTCCCCGGATTTATATATGTCAGAAACATTCTTATATACCATATCGCAATCTTTGTCCATAACCTTATGGTTGCAATGAAATCCTAGAAACTCATAGTTTACCTTTCGAATGAACTTCTTTATTTCTACTGAGTCAGTTGGTTTCACTTCTATTTCATCGAATTCAGGAATAGTGAGTTTTTGTTGCTGAATTTCAGGCAATTTAGGTAAATGGTCAATAATGTCCTGCATTTCATAAAGATACTGTTCATTTGTTTCATCTTTCGCACTACAGTCTAAATTACTTGTTAAAAGTTCTTGCTTTATCTTCTGGATTTTTGTTTCAAAAGTATATGAAGAAGGAATGAAGCTTTTCATCTCTACTAACATAGATGTTGGATTCATGACTAACGAGTTTGGTGAAGTTGTTGTGGACAGAGTCCCGCCGTTCGCGGCTTGAATTGTTGTTGTGCCGATTGTTGAAATCATATCTTTACATACAAAATAAAAAAATAAATAAAAATAAAACTAACGTTATTTTTCTATCTTAAAAAATTCATGAAAATTCATGAGGGTGAGAAATTAGGTGAAAAAAGAGGTGACATCTCACCTCTTCACCTATAATATATTTTTGGTCATTTACACTCATTTACGAAGAAGTTATGACAAAGCATTTACGAAGAAGTTATGACAAAGCATTTACGAAGAAGTTATGACAAAGTCACGAGGGTGAAAAAAGAGGTGAGAAAACAGGTGACATCTCACCTCTTCACCTAAATTATATTTTAGGTCAAAGCTTCCACGAGAGAAAAGATTCCTCATTCGCTAAGGATTCCAAAAATGAAAAAATCATTGATTTCGGCTGAGAAAAAACAGCAAAACCCTTCTTCCACGGGAACAAAGAAATAAAGAAGAAATAAAGTAAATTTTTTATTTATTCCCGTGGAAGATAGAGCACTTTTATGACACTTTTTATTCACGACAAACAAGACAAATAAAGAAAATAAGAAAATACGGCGCTGTCGCGGTTCGAACCACAGACCTTGACCCTCCATAACACCACCTTAGACCACTGTGCTACGTAGCCTGTCGACATAAGATTTTATAAATTGCATATTTGACGTAAATTTATTTCCATCTGGCTTCCCACTGCATAAGATATTCATACGTGTTTGTAAGACATTCATTAAACTTCTTTTCTATTGCATCTAATCTTGCGTTATTTTTTTCAATAACTTGTCTGTATTCTTCATCATCTCCAGCAGTGTTTGGGTCTTCACGTTTAAAATATTCATTGTTAACCAATTTTTTATCTACAAATTTTATTAGTGTTTGATTCACTTCGTTATGATAACGGTCATATTCTTTCAATACGTAAGTGAAGACAAAATGCGTCGTACCTTCAATCTTAAAGCTTAAAGAACTTTCAACACAGTTTTGAGGGTCTGTCAGTGCGTCAATGAGATAGTATTCGAAGTCAGTCAATAATCTTTTTAAAGTCATTTCATACAGGATAAAATTTAATGTTGTGAAGAAATAGTGTTTATCTCAAAAAAATAAAGTTAGTTTTTATTTTATTTATTTTTTTATCCTGTATGTAAAGACAGATATGTCAACATTAGAGAACACAACAACTGCTATCGTTCATGAAGTCATAAATGAAGAATACGAATACATACAGTATAACAAACAATTGAGACTCATTCGTTCAGTCAAAGACGACATGTACCAAATGCAAAGTATAATGAATGCTCTTCTTTCTACAAAGCAAGCATATCATTGGTTTGAAAACCAACAGGCTAAAGAACTTTTAGAAGAATTTCCTCATATGATTGCTTCCCTCGGAAAACCGAGGGAAGAGATTCCATTCGAAAATCGTAAAAATTTGGCTCCTGGTTTGAAAGGTTATTATGTTCATAGACTTTTAGTAAATGCTGTAGCAATGTGGGCTTCACCTCGTTATGCTTGTTATATTTTCATGACATTTTGACAACAACACAGGAGGAAGGTAGTTATGAATTATTTTTGAAGAACTGAAGGTGCTACCATGTTACCATGTGCTACCAGGTCATTTAACTTCTCTGAAAAAATGAGACAACATGACATTTTGACAACAGTTCAGGAGGAAGGTAGTTATGAATTATTTTTGAAGAACTGAAGGTGCTACCATGTTACCATGTTGACAACATGACATTTTGACAACAACACAGGAGGAAGGTAGTTATGAATTATTTTTGAAGAACTGAAGGTGCTACCATGTTACCATGTTGACAACATGACATTTTGACAACAACACAGGAGGAAGGTAGTTATGAATTATTTTTGAAGAACTGAAGGTGCTACCATGTTACCATGTGCTACCAGGTCATTTAACTTCTCTGAAAAAGTGTGACAACATGACATTTTGACAACACAGCAGGATTAATGCAAAAATAAATTCCAATCATACTTTATAAAGCTTCATTTACAGGTATTTCATCATCAGTAAATGATTCCTCATTATCGTTTGGTTCAACCTGTTTATATAATCCTTTCATTTCTTCTTTCAAAACATAATACCATGTTTGTTTACCGTCTATTCTTCTATGTTTCCTATCACATTTATCCTTAATACTCATTTGAAAGTTTTTGTCTTTCATGTCTGATGGTTTGCAGAATAGAGCATTTTCACACGTCATACCTGCACACAATTCATCATAATGTGTATTTATCCATACATCTAAAGGATTGATGATAATTCAATTAAATCTTGTTTGGCTTCAGTCATCGGTATGATTCGTACATTAAATGATGAAAGGTCATATTGCATAAAATACGTCAGTAAATTATCATAAAATTCCTTAGTGCATGAATCCATTAAATTCTTGAAGTAATCAAATTGACCCTTGAATTTACCATTAACTCTTAAAACTACGTATCTTCTGTCTCCAACTTCAATTTTGACAGGGTAGACGTTGTTAGTTACGAAAATGAAGTTTGCAACATTCTGAGCAGTTCTTCTGGGTTGATTCTTTTCATTAATTCTTATCTCATTATCCGTAATAATTGATTTCAAAGCGTTGAAGTTTGCGAGTCTGTCTTCACCCACATTCTTGAGTTCATTAAGTACAAGAAACATTTTATTTTCAACTACTGAATTGAAATTA